TTTTAGTAGAGACGGGGTTTCACCGTGTTGACCAGGACGGTCTCGATCTCTTGACCTCGTGATCCACCCGCCTCGGCCTCCCAAAGTGCTGGGATTACAGGCGTGAGCCACTGTGCCCAGCCTGTCTCCTCATTTCTTGAGGTGGATTTCCTTTCAGGATTCTGGGGTCCTTCCTTTCAGTTCATCCCATTAGAGATATCCCAACCCCTCAGGCATAGTTTAATACTTCTGAGCCTGAGGTAAAGGGAGGTAGGGTGCCTGTCCCCTTTCTTTCTGAGGGTAATCCATCCCTTTTTATACAAAAATAATTGAAGCAACCCTGCATTATCTGAGCCCCAAAACCAGATCGAGGAGGGAGACACAGTGTTGGACTCCACAAGAGAGCAGGAAAACACCACACCTTGAGTCTGTCTGCTCTGTTGCTTGAGGGTATGGACAAGGTGCTGGATGGAGGCCCAGAGCTGTTCATCTCCGCAACCAATGTCCGCACACTCACCAGGGGTGAAAGGGCTCTAACCCCAAATGTCGCGAGTGGTTTCCATGCCACCTTCCAACAGGAGAAATGACATTCCTGGGGACAGAGGAAGATGGCGCAGTCACCAGGTGTGCCCAGGTTTGACCTCCCAGAGCAGCTTATGTTTCTGTACCTCTCTCTATATAAGATGGGATTATTTTTATGGTAATTATAAAATGAAACAAATAATAATAATTGCCAGTGAAGAAATATTACCAGTGAAAATTTTTCTTTTGTTGAATGTCATAAATATACTAGTAAAAAAAATGAATAAAAATAAAGCAAATACCATAATACAAAAAAGGAAATAAGGCCTGCTTTTTTTCCCAGGAGTCTAAAACTCTACATCATGGTTTCAACTTTGACAGATTGGCTACAGTTTGGCATAATATTTTGTGCAAATAATTGTCCAGTAACCAGTAAGCGGCTGTTAATCACACTTAATCATCTACAGAAGATATGGTTTAGGCAACTACTAAATCATTCCATTTTTGTAAATTTTATTTTCTTGACTTGCTTTTGTTTTAAAACAGTTGACAATGACTACACAATACCCTTCATTTTCAAGATACTATTTAAATTCAACCAATAGTTGACATATGAAGTAAACCAAATAAAAATATTACACCTCCAAAGTGGCACTGTCTCGCTGCTCTAAATTATAAACCAAAGTTAAAACTCCAGTGAGCAAACAATGCAAGAGGAGTGGTTTTATTTTGTTGTTGTTTTTAAACACAGGGCCTTGCTCTGTCGCTCAGGCTGAAGTGCAGTACATGAACCTAACTCAGTGCAGCCTCAAACTTCTGGACTCAAGTGGGCCTTCCACTTCAGCCTCCTAATAGCTAGGATTACAGGTGCATGCCACTATGGCTGGCTAATTTTTAGAAACTTTTTTTGTAGAGATTGGGGTCTCACTATATTGCCGAGGCTGGTCAGCAACTCCTGGTCTCAAGCAATCATCCTGTCTTGGCCTCCCAAAGTGCTGGAATTACAGACATGAGCCACGAGAGTTCTGGTTCTTGGTCTTTGCTTCTCCATGCTACCATGATTGGCTGTAAATCCCCTGTCAGACAGGTGATGCATAGACCGGAGTGGGAGATCCAGACTGTACCCCACAGCCTTATCAAACCCCATCCACATAGCTGGGAGTTCTCTGAATTTCCTTCCATGCAGAATACGATGTTTAGTAACGTGAGTAGTAACAAAGGTGCTCCATTGAAGCTTACATATATATTATTAAAACAGTGACAATTGTTTTTGACTGAGACCAAAAAAAATTCTTTTTCACGTGGGAGTGTTTTTATTATTGACATTGTTTAGAATTGCTGGCATATGGTGATAATAAAAAGCAGTTGGATTTTAGTTTGTTTTTTTTCTTTCTTGTTCAATGTACTTCAGACAATGCCCACATTCCCACATATCATCTGCACCCAGGCAGACCCACCCACTGCGTTGAGAATGTGGCTGCCTGCTTTGTAGAAACAAATAACCAAATCAACAACATGAACCCCACCTGGTTTTGGAGAAGAGTTCCTTCTTCATGTCCTGCCTCAAGGAGGCCTGTTTTTTCTAAATACTGGGGTCTTTTTTCCCAAATATTGGGGTCTGAAAATCTCTGAACCTTCCAGGGATAATGCCACAGGACATTGGCCCAAAGTGGTTACTGTAGCCCCTGAAATCAACCTAGTCATTCCTGTGACAGGTCATCAGAACAGGCTTCGGGATGGCTAGCCTGCGATCTTTCTGCAGAGTTGCTGAAAGGACTCATGGGACTAAACTGAACTCCTCACCCCTCTCTGTCTCCCAGGCCAGGTGTCCACACCTACCAGAAGCCCAGCCCTCATCCACACCTCCACGGTCCTTCCAACACCCTGAAATCGTAAATGAAAATCAGCCTAAATACAAGTAATCATTAATGGCGTATTGAATTTCTTTGGGACGGAAGTTAACTATAAACTGGAATACATTGTTCTAATTTGGGAGACAGAAATAAACACTCAAGATGGAGCTTTCTTCAGTGAATCAAAGTTACTATTTTTCGAAAAGGGCCCTAGGGTCCTATATAGAATTATAGCCCCCACCCCCAAAGACATCCACATCCTAATCCCCAGAACTTGTGAATAGGGCACAGTGCTGAGCTGGAGTTTGGGGGAATAGTCCAGCACCAGTAGTTGAGACCCATCAGCAATGGACAGGGATGATGTGGCCCCGGGAGCGGGGAGCCCAGACACCAGAAACAGTCAGATTCCGAGGGCCTTAACTGTGATTGGTGTCCCCAGGGACTTTGGGTCACAGCAAAGTGTGGGTCACAGCAAAGTGGGTGAGCTGGATGGACAGGTATCACATCTAAGCCACTGTCTTGTCATTGTGTCTGACTGGTGTCCGGGGAGTGGAATCTTCTCATCCGCTGGCAGTCTTCAAAGGGATGGAGAGGAAATTTGATCTACATGAAGTGTGAGTCCAGGGTCGGTTCAGAGGCTCTTTTTACTTTCCAGGTTTAATATTTTATACTAAGAGATGGACTTGTGTCTGCCACCCACAGCTGCTGTCACAAACTACCACAAACCTAATGGCTTACAACTTATCTCACCATTCTGAGGTCAGAAGTCTGACATGGGTCTTACAGGCTGGAATCAAGGTGTCAACAGAGCTGCATTCTTCCCGGGGCTCAAGGGACAATCCAATCTGTTCTTGCCTTCTCTGGCATCTAGAGGCCACCTGCATTCCTTGGCTCGTGGTCCCCTTCTCCATTTCAAAGTGTGTCATCGCATCATCTTCTCTGACCTGCTTCTCTCTCATAAAATCCTTGTGATGACATTGGGGTCAGCCAGCTATTCCAGGGTCACCTCCTCTTCTCAAGATCTTTAGCCGAATTACATCTGCAAAAGGCAAAATGTAAAGTAAGGTGTTCAGAGATGAGGTCTTAGGGATTAGGATGTGACCATTTTGGGAGTGGGCGTGGTTATTCTGCCTGTCACTAGACTCTCCTGTCATTTTTGAAAAATACTTTAAAAATATTGCATTTGGCTTGCTTGTTTCTCTGTCTTCTACATTAGAACAATTTGTTCCATTTTGTGTTTAGCTTAAGTCCTAAAGAAATTCAATATGAAACTCATAACTGCTGGTTATTAGCCTAATGTATCATTTGGGACCTGACTGTACTTAAATTCATCAGACTAAAAGGTGGTGGTGGATTCGTTAATAATTTTTACTTAGACTGTGTGTAGGTCTTTAAAAATGATTTGAGGCTGTCTAAAAACTTAAAATAGAATGAATAAAATTAAAACCCAAAACGACTCCGAGACAAGCAGATTTTACCAGGCGCCTCATACAGACTGGGAACATCACTTCAGGGCGGTTTGGTTGGGTGCTGGGGTTTGGGCTCCAGCACGAACCCATTACGCTTCCTGGTCACCTTGCCGGACAAGACAGAAGTACCCACGGGGTTGGAAGGAAAAACGATGCCCAGGTTTCTGTTTATTTCGAGAGACAGAAGTAAACACTCAAGATGGAGCTTTCTTTAGTAAATCAAAGTTATTATTTTTTATAATAAAGACTCAAAGAGACAAGCAGATTTTTCAGTTGGAGGAGGAGTCTGTGCGTGGAGCCCGGGTTG